GACCCTCGTGATCCCTCAGCTTTACACTGACTATGACGTGTAAGGGATGGAACACTCTGTGGGTCAGGTTTGGGTCCCCTGTCCGGTTCGCTCCTCCCTGCAGGGGCGACCTTTTTCGTGCTTGAGACCCCTTTCACTCCCAGCACCCCAACACGCAGTACAGGATTTAGCAGTGACCTTGGTCGCTGTAAGAACAAGTACAAGCAAGCGCCTCTGCATCCCGTTCCTTGGTACGAACTATAAACATCAGGCCTTATCACTGCTGGGAGCAGTCACTGTCTGGGAAAACATGCTGTTGATTTCACCAAGTGCAGTTACTTAGAGAGACTTAACTGAAAAGTTAAAGCACTAAAACAGAATTAGTGTAGGTTTAGCCCAAACCAGGACAGAGGGTTTGTCAGGAGGCAGGAAAAAAATCTTATAGTGCAAGGAAGATGAAAGAAACTAGCACTTACAGAATCTGCTCGTGGGACCAGATGGAGAGGCTGTTGCTGATGTTCCAGTTCTGAGCAACAAGACTTGAGTAACGTGTGTGTGTTCCCAATCTCCAGTTTACCTGTGTCATCTAGTTGGAATTTGGTAAAGCTGCACTCACTTGTTCATTATTTTTATAACATAACAGTTCTGAGTCCTATGGCAGTGTAGGCTATTTCCCATTGGCAGGTGAAGACCCTATCCTCCATGTTTGTATCTTTCAAAAATGTGTGGAGGGAAAGGCTGTCCCCTTGACTGTGCTGATCTCTAAACCCTTGTGCTGATCTCACCAGGCCCCATGACACCTTTACCCTTCCAGTCTCTGTAATGCAGTGCTGCCTCGCTTGGATTTCCAAACATGTAAAATTGATTGTGTGACAGAGAAACTTCCCATATCCTTGTTTCCCTCTATATTTTCATATTGCCAATTATCTGTTTGTCCACGTGCTGCTGACCTGATGGCTTGAGGAACTTCCCTCAAGTGCTTTCTCCTGGCCACCAGCGCTGCATCCTCCCAGGAGATGGTTAAAGGAAAAACTGGGTAAACTCATGGAAATTATTAATAAAACAATCTGACATTATTAGTAAGGTTAACTTTGCCTTAAAATAATATTAAAAAATATTTTTAGCTTGCACAGGCCTGTTGGAGTCCTAAAAAGGAAACTGCCTTGTTATTGCAAACTGTTCCAGCAATGTAAATGCATCCTTTGGTATTCAGCAGCTCCAGGTGCTGTTGCTGTGCGTAGTTGTGTTCCCGACAAAAACCTGCTTCAAAATGACGAGGGCTTTCCAGATTAGCATACCTGGCAGGGCTAGCGAGCTGCTGAAATACAATACTGATCACAGGCCTCCAACGGTGAAGTAGGATCTCGTTTTGCTATAAAACAAATGTCATTGTTAATCAAGGTGAGCTGAAATGTTTGGGAGGCCATTCAGGTGAGCTGCCACTGTCTGTAGCTGAGATCACTGTCTCGGGCTCAAAGGCACGGATACCGTTGCTGTGAGCAGCACAGCTTTGTGCTCTGGCCTCTGTGTGTTGAGCGGCACGGGAGGGTCCTCAGGACGCAGCTGAGACCGGGTGCACGGGCAGCTGCCACCCTGTGATCTCGAACAGAGCTGATCTGCAGCCTCTCTCTTATTCCTGTCGTCAGCCCGTGCCCTGGGTCAGGGTGACAAGGGACAGCACGAGTGCTGACCTTCAGCTGAGGCTGTGCCACCTGAAGGTGTGCGGCTGCCTCTAGGAACTTGTAAGCCAACCCCGGGCAGCCAGCCAGCAGGGCCTGGGGAGGCCAACATCTGCTGGCTGGCCTCAGGCCCCATCTGCACCTTCCCCCCGTCCTGCAGTAAGGCACGGGGACCCCACGAGTCCCTGGAGTCGGCCTCATTGGAGAATGTCGGCTGTGGTGAATACAGTTGCAGCACTTGTGCAAAGTATTCGTGTCAGAGTGCTGTTGCTGATGGAGAATTGGTTTTACAGGCTTCTTAGAGTGTTTATAAATGGTAGGCATTATGGAGCTTTAAATCTGTATTCAGGCTATAACGCTGGTGAGTAAAACACAGATTGAGGATTATGTGGCTGTATGGCTTCCGTATGCTGTCAGAGTATTCCTCCTCTTGCATGCTGGAAGGGATTTTCAGTGAAGCCTTCAGAGAGCATCTCCTGCTTTTTCACCTGATACTTCAAACAGCTGTGTCCTAGGGGAGCAGTGTAAGCCTGCCCTGCACCATCTGTTCAACCTCCTCGTGTCCCAGGAGAAGCATTGTTTTGATACCCAAGCTAGTAGAGAGTGCTAAACCCTTCAATTCAAAAATTCCTGTAGCTAACTCAGCTACTACTGGGAACCAAAAAAATTTTTAACCCTACTGTGGGCCTGCTGTGGCTGAAGCTCACTTCTGTCACTGTGACAGTACTTGCTATCTGGAGACCAATTTAGTTTTATGTGACTTTATTACTATTTTTGCTTGCTTTGCTACATTCTTTAAGCCCTTGACTTGAGACTTTGTTTTGTACCAGTTCGCAGACTAATCCTGTGTAGCAAGGGAAACTTTTGAGGGTATAAATAAGAGTAGACCCAGGAATCATTGAAAACTATTTCCAGTTCTTGTGTATTTTTACTGGCACTTGGGGTGTTCATGTCAACAAGGTTAAACAGCTCAGAACACAGCCAGACTGGTGGAGTTGAGTCACCAGACCTCTGCCTCGAGCCAGGCTGTTCTCAACTTTTATTTCTGTCTTGCAGAATGGGGATGTATGTATTTCAATTCTTCATCCACCTGTAGATGACCCACAAAGTGGAGAGCTGCCATCTGAGAGGTGGAACCCTACCCAAAATGTCAGGTAACTGGGGGAATCTGATGTACAACGGGGACCTCAAAGGCCTGTTGTCTCTCTCCAAGACGAAGGCCTATATTGGGACAGGTTTGGAAGGGGATTTAAGACTGGCGGGGGGGGTTTAGGGCTTGAATCGAGTGGGAACCAGACTTCCCAGCTGTCTGAAGGTACTGGAGTGCTGTGTGTCCTGTTACTGGGCTAACAATGTGGAGCCTTCTGTCCTGTTTGCAGGGTTTCGTGCTTTTAAAGCAAATTATCTCAAATGCTCTAGCCTTTCCCAGTCCATGTTATCCTACACTTAAGCTTTTCAAACTCCTCCAAGGTACCACTAGTGGAAAAGAACATTTTTGAGTATTCAGGCCCAGTAGAAGTAACTCTGTTCATAATCCTGCCTACTGTTTGCCTTCTAGTATTTGTCTCTGTCTCCTGTCCTGCAGTGTGGTATCATGAGCAGTTAGCCAGGTAGCTTTCTTTCTGACAAAAAACACAAAGGATCACTAAGTAGCAGAGGTGTTCAAGGCTAACATCTCCCTTTTTTTGAAACACCAGCTCAATTTCATTCTCATTACAAGACACTGCCAGTAAAGAACTGAGTAGGTGACAACTCATAGTTAGGAAACAGCTTTGAGCATTAATTACTTCTATTGCACAGGTATTTTGAGCATTTCATTACATACAACCCTAAAGAATGACAAGAAATTTCTCATGGTACTAGTTCTCCAATTTCTGCTCTCCCTTACCATGGTGCAGTTTTTGATGCTTACTCTCTCAGAATGTGTTGGGCTTAAGGGTGATGTCTGGGGAGAAAATCTGCCTCAGCTGTGTCAGCAAACAGAAATAAAACTTGTCCTTAATAGCTCACCTGCTACCAGTGTCACCCATTGAGCTAAGTCCCGATAGAAACGTGTCCTGCTGGGGTCTCATCTGGCTTTGCAAGGCTCCAGAGTGTCAGGCAGGAGGAAGGAGGGCTGAGGGTGTGGGAGGGGAGCTTGTAATGAGCTGCCTGTGTAGGCAGGGGCTTCTTTTCAGCTGCTGAATTTTGTAAATCCTGCTGAGTATTGACTGTTTACTACAGCTGACTGTTTGAAGTGTCTGGAGGGGGCAGTGTCATTCTTCAGCTGTAAGAGCACCTGTGCTTCCACCTCCAACCGAGTCAAGCATGGTCATTCATTTTTTTAAACGTCGTCAATATGGACTTTCCCATCACGCAGAACTAGATGAGGCAGGTGTAAGTAAATATGGCAAACACCCAGTGAGATGTGAAGGAGTGGAGCTGTGACCTGTGTGGCAGAGAACACTGCTTTTCTCGTGCCCTGAGTCCCATACAGCTGTGGAAGTGGTGGCAGGGCTTAGAGCGGAGGCTCTTTGATTGTTTTAATTGCCCTTCATCATATCTCTCCTGTCCCCTCCTCTGTCCTTTGAAGTGCACGGGCCAGAACTGAGCACAGTGTTCAAGGGGTCAGTACATCTGTATCTTGTGAAGATCAGTGGTGCCCTGGCTCACTATTACTTTGTTTCCTGAGGATCCTGACACTTTTGTTGGCTTTTTTTTTGGCTGCCTGAGATCTGGACAGTTTCTGCAACCAGCTCAGTGCGCTAACATGACTGTCATACAGCCTGAACAAAAACTTTTTACTTCGTATTGGAGAGCTAAAATGTGCAGGACAAATCTATACCTACCTCTAAAGGTGGCTGTGAGAAGCTACAATGTGGACAGCAGCTGGAACAAAAGAAAAAATCCTTATTCAACAGGGTGTAACAGGATGTGCTGGTTGGGAGCATCAGCCAGTCTAATGTCTGTTGTGGATGAAATTCGTGTGTGTGCGAGCCTTCTGTTGATACATGGAGAGAAAAAGGCACTTAACAGGTCTGTTTCCTTGAGCCTCTGCTGGCTGCTCTACCCTGCTGGTAAAGGACTGAGGGATGTTGAGGGACTCACTCTGAAGACCACCACAGTGTAAACACTTAAACCAGCTCACTGTTCCCCAGAATGGGGCTGGGGATGTAAGAAAGCAGAAGGCAGGCTTGAAATCCCCCTCTTCATGCAATCAACTTGCACGAAACAATGTGCTAGAGCAACCTCACCTGAGAGGGAAACAGATCCCTGACAGTACTGCAGAGGGGTCAGTCTGTATCCAGTCCGGTGCAGCTCCTGCCAGGTGCTGAGGATGTTTTCAGTCCCACGTGGTTGAACTGGTTTTGTGGCTTTGGTCCTGTCAGATCCCGTGTGCTGGGATCCCTTCCCGTCACTGTACCTCGTTCACCCGCAGTAGCAGGGTTTGAGTTGGAGCAGGCTGTCCAGCTCTTGAGACACCAGCAGTGACAGAGCTGATCTAACGTGCTGGCTGGGAATGAGGAGAGCAGAGCGCCTCACCTCTAATAAACAGGCAGTTGCCTTGGTGTATTTAAGTAGCTCTGCAGTGACTTTGGAGTCTGGGGCACCGCAGTGGAAATTGGCTTCTCCTCACTTTGTTGGTGGAAGTGTGGTAGAGCAGATGCTAAATCCAGACATGAATTCCTGTCCTCGGCCTTCCCTAGACTTTGCTTGCTGCAGTGATGCTGGAGCAGACATGCTGGCTTTACAGCCTGTGTGCTGGGCATCAAAGGCTGTTAAATGAATTCTTGAGATGAAGTAGAAGATGGCCTCTCTTCTGCCCATCATTCCACTCTGACCAGACAGTTTTTTGAGAGCTGTTGTTCTCTTTTCCTCCTGAATTATGTCATTTGTAAAATAAATTGTATAAGACTCTCCTGATAGCTGTGCTGAATGGTCTGGCCAGACACAAGTGTTTAGTTTTAAAACCTTTCAAGAAACTCAGCATACAAATGACCAAGCATTTCCTGGAATTGTATCCCAGATATATGATCTAGTAGATGAGCTCAGCACACGCTGCTCTCAATGTGCCCCTAAATCAACGCAAGTACGGCTGGGGCTGTAGTCTCTTGTAATCAACCTCTGCAAAGCAGTTGCTATGTACTGCTGTATTTCAAGACCTACTCCTTATCTCCTCTTCCTCCCTTCCTCTTCCTCCCTTCCATTTAAATCGAAAGCTGTTGCCAGGAGGGCCACCTCAGACCCATGAAGCTATTGCAGTGGTGGCTACAGCCGGGCGGCTGGGGGTGTCGAGGTGCCAGATGTGACTCGCTGTTGTGTTTTGTGCTGGTTGTGGCGCTGCGTGAGGCGCAGAGAGCTGAACCTCTGAAGCGCAAAGGGTTGTAGAAATGCAAGAGAAGGGTCTGGGTGAGGGAGGTGGTGTTTGCCCTTGGTAAATGCCGGCAGGGCAGGGCGGCTCGCTGGCTCTGTGCTGCTGCTTGATAACCCAGGAAGGCTGTTTGTCTGCCAGGGGCTGCACAGCTGGCTCGTGCTGGCTCTGGGTACCAGCACCTGAATCCTGCTGGGCCCTTGGCGGTTTGCCTGGGTACTGAAAAACACCTGCACTGTCTTCCCCTTGCTGTGCTCGAGTGCTGCTACAGCAGCCTGATGCGTGAGCTGAGGAGAGGCGAGACCTGCCTGCATCTTCAGCCTCTGAACACCCTGTGGGGCGGGGAGAGCAGCATGGCCTTGGGTCGTGGTGGTCCTTCTCCCTACGCGGGGCAGGCAAAGAGCCTGGCTTTCTGCTGCGGGGTTAGTGTCACCGGGAGCAGGCTCACCAAGCAGGCTTCCAGCCCTGCGCCGTCCATGGGTGGTGTGGACAAGTTGAATTCTGGTCTGACCCTGGCGTTGCCTGCTGCCCTGTCACAAGCACGTGCACAAACCTGGTGGTCTGCAGTCAGACAAGATCCATGAGGCTTGTAGTGTGTCACCTGCCCTGTGCTGACAGCCAGGGTCTGGGGTTCATAAACACCTGCTCTCACAGCAGATACTATCTTGGCTCAAGTGTTGGCTTTAAACGAGTTTCTGATGCATCACCTAAAGAAGTTGTCGGCATCCAGAATCCATGAATGCGTTAGCTCTGACTGCTGTTGTGGTTACCTTTTTCAGGACTATCTTACTGAGTGTAATCTCTTTGCTGAATGAGCCCAACACATTCTCTCCTGCCAACGTGGATGCATCAGTCATGTTCAGGAAATGGAGGGACAGTAAAGGGAAAGACAAGGAGTACGCTGAAATCATAAGGTAAGCTTTGCCCTGCGTGATGCGGTGCTGCCAGCCTCCTGCTTTGAGTCCTGTAATACAGGCTGCTTGCAGAATTTGCTGAAACCAGCTTCTCGCTGTGGTTGCTTCTTTGGAAATGATTTTTACCGTCTTATTCCAAGTCCACACTTCTGGTCCCTTTAGGATTGCCAGCACACAGAAGCAGTGCGAACTTCTGGAGCAGGAGGACTGGGCTGATCTGTCTTTAAACTGTTCTTTTTTCAGACTAATCTGGCCTGATGCTCTGCAAAACCTATTGGCTGCTAGTAAATCCCAGTCAAAGTCCCCGCTTGCCTTTGAGCACTGCCTGCATTGCTTGGGATGTGATTCAGGCTGACTGCATCCTGCTAATTCTGTGCTTAATGCGCTCATGAATCATAGTCCTGTCCCTCCAATTTGAAGGCATATCAGCGGGATTTGGCAAGCGCTTGCAGAGCTGGGTTTGATTAGCTGGAAGCGCTGTTCCGTCTTGACTGTCCATTGCTGAGGAGTTCATGGTTCATCAGGTGCTGCAGGGAGATGATGTAAACTAGAGCCAGGGCTGCAGTGGGACCCCTGCCCTTGCCTGGGGCAGGACCACGTCTGCGTCAACTCCGCTAGCCGGGCGTGCAGGATATACCCCGGCTGGAGCTACGCAGGGCAGTCGGTCCGTGCGAAGAGCCTCGCTGGGCGTTACCTTGGTGCCCTCCAGCTCCCTCGGCCCCAGCAGAGCTGGAGGTGCTCCAGAAACAGGGTATGGCAGGCTGAGGAGCAGGTGGGTGGGGGCGAAGGGACAGGCTGCCATCGTGCCGTCTGACCCTCTGCCTGCAGCACGGGCCACCAGCAGTTCACAGCCCGAGTGCTGCTGGGAGGCAGCAGCCGGAGCCTGGCCTGGGGTGACGGGAAGCACTTGTCTTCTGCCAGCCCCAGGCAGCACCGGCGTTACGGCTGCGTCTCGGGGTGCAGCCACGTGCTCCGACTGCTCTTACCCTCCCGAGGGAGCTCAGAGCTGCCAAGGGCTTGTGGGGATCGCAGTTTTGAGCACGCTGGGGCAGTCCTCAGGGGTGGAGTCAACCAGTGACAGGAAATCCCTGGCCATCCCTTCTGTAGTAAGTGTAACAAAATTTGCCCTGAGCTCTGGCAGGTCTCTGATGCGGAGCGCTGTAGAACAACTGATTTCGTGTGTTGCTGAGAGCGTGTGTGCTGCAGACGCCCCTGGAGAGCTCCCAACCCCGGGGCTGCAGGAGCTAAAGCTGTTTGTAGTGCTGCTTCTGGTGCTTCAGCCAAACGTCAGCTCTCCGGACGCTGAGCTGCCAAGAGGGCTGGGGCTGGCCGGGAGGGAGGTGGGGAGTCGAGCCGTGCTGCCGCTCGCACACGGCCCTGCTCACGTTTGTGTCCTCCTCCTCCCTGCAGGAAGCAGGTGTTGGCTACCAAAGCCGAGGCAGAGAAGGATGGCGTGAAGGTCCCCACTACGCTGGCAGAGTACTGCATCAAAACTAAAGTGCCTTCCAATGACAACAGTTCAGATTTGCTTTACGACGACTTGTACGATGACGACATTGATGATGAAGATGAGGAGGAGGAGGATGCCGACTGTTACGATGATGATGATTCTGGCAACGAGGAGTCGTGACCTGCTCCCTCTATGCCCCTGTACTGCCCTGCCGACTCAGGCCAGAAGGGAGCAGCGGTAACCTAGCAGCAGTCCAGCAAAAAAGTGTGTGGGGGGGGATCAAAAAAAAAACTTTTTGTCTCCTGCTGTCTCCTGTTGTATGGATCTGTTTGCTCCTTTTTTATGGACCTCTTAGAGACCCTCCACAGAATGTCTGAATTCTTGCATTCTTAACCCTTTCATCACTGTATTATGATTTCTTTTTGAAAAAAGAAACCCCTTTTCACTTCTCTACGAAACGCTCACAGCGAAACAGGTTTGCTCGCGTTTAGATTCTTGAATTAAATACAGTCTTGCATTGAGATGTTTAATGTATTTAAAGCTGGAACAAACCCGTTGGAAGCTGGGTTTTCAGGAGCTCAAGTGCTGCATTTACTGGGAAGAAAAATCCACACAAAGCAAATTGCCAAGGTTTAGCTGCTCCATTTACAATAATAGCGTGTGTACATTCGTTTAGCCTTGTGGTGGTGGCTTTTCCTTTGAGGTGTGGGGCGGAGAGTGTAAAGCTACTGTGTGTTGAGCTTGATGGGATGTCACTGAAAGGTACAGTATTCCTTTTCAGCCTGCTCCAGTCAGGAGATAGCTGGCCCCAGAGGGCACAGTCAGCTTTGTCTCTGGAAAAGGCTTGTGATATGAACCCTAAAATAAACACTTCACACTTCATGTCTGTACAACTGAGCCCTGGGTTGCTATTTATTTTAAATTTTTTTTTTCAGTCCAGGTTGGGGTTGACACAGTTCAGTTTAGCTGTGCTGCCAGCTGCCCCCTCTCCAGAGGGAGGAGGACAGATGCGCATCCTCCTGCCCAGCAGCCCACTGTTCATCCAGAACTTTTTTTTCGCAGTGGAGGAGACAGATAGCCTCCTGCCCCAGTGCTTGCTAGCAGCCCTTGCTTTGTGCAGCCTAAATCCAGTGCTCGCTTGAGCCTTCTTTCTGTCGCTTAGGGTAGGTCAAGCGTTGATAAAGGCAGCTCTACTGCAGCCCTGTGGGGTCAGCAGAAGCTGGAGCTCCCTCAGGTGCCTGCCTGGGGTGGCCAGGCTGTCCCTGTGCCTGCAGTGGCTGCTGGGGCCTGGGGCAGGGGGGATAGATGTGTGCTGGGCTCTCCCCTGCCTGGCTGGGCCAGGGGTGAGTGTGTGCAGCCCCACAGGAGAGGGGTACGCAGCGCTTTCGGGCCGCATGCCCAGCGGCGGGGTCGGACAGGCTACTTACCAGCATGCTTCAGCCGGTGCACTGAGCTCAGCCTCCTGCATGTTTCTGGCAGAGCTTAGGGCCCTCCCTCGTGGGCAAGGGGGTGATCCTGCATGCTTGCGTCTGCAGAACCTTCTTCCTCAGTCCCTGCGCACCTTCACCCTGTAGCAGTGTGTTCTCCTTGTCCGCCTGTGGCGCAGTGGCCCCAGTTCACTCTTTGCATGATCCCTCGGCCAGCAGCCAGCCCTGCCCGCCCGTGCTGACCCCTGGTGCCTCCAGGAGCAGACCGGAGGTGCTGGCCCTGCTGGGCCGAGATCCTCCATCCCCACAGGTACAGAGGCCGTTACCCTGGTAAGAGCTGCGGGCTCAGGCATTTGTTCGTGCCTCGCCTTTGCCTATCTCAGGGTTTTCAATGGTACGTCACCAGCTGCGGTCCCTCGAGGGGTGCTTTGGTGGGAGTAAACGTTGTCCTGCGATCAGCTCTGTCCCAGGGTGAGGAGCGGGATGAGAGTGAGTGAGCTCAAAGTGTGCTGCCTGGAGGGGAGGAAGGCTGGATGGGCTCTGTTTGAAGTGAGCAAAGGCAGATCTGTTTTCAAAACGTTGGGATTTGCTGCAGCAGAGTCAGTGCCTGTTCCTCTGCCCCAGCGTGTGCTGGTGGTGCATCGCTCTTGCCCACTGAGGAGTAAAGGCAGCTCAGATGGTGATACCTTGTCCCCCAGTGCTCCCAGTCTGCCCTCCTGCCTGTGTGTTACCTGGGGAGGCAGCTGGACCCCTCCTGATGTGTCCCACAGGGGGTGCTTCAGCTTGTCCTTCCAGCAGGGTCTGACTCAGCCTGTTGTGCTTTTTGGAGCTGGCAGCGGGGCTCCCCTGTGCGTGGTGTGGGGCACCCCCAGCTTCACTCCAGCCAGGGCCAGTGTTGGCGAGTGGGTCCCTGGGCCTCCTGGTGACATGACTGGTCTTGGGGCTGCATAGGGACAGGGACACCGACCTCCAGCTCTTTTTTTTGGAGGGGGGGGAGGGGGGGGGGGGGGGGAGTGTGGCAACGCTGGCTGTGCTGATGATTTGGTTTGAAATGAGGATACTGCATCTTTCAGGATTTCCCTTGTACTTCTGACCGTCTTCACTGTATACTCTCCAGTGACTTGTATTTTCAAGCTTGGTGTTGTAAGATGCATTATCATGACTCTTCTGTTACCTTTTTTTAAAGATGAAAAAGCAACCTATTTTGAGAGCTCCTACATTAACCAGGCTAATTTCTTTTCCCCACTGTCCTGTGCAGTGTCACTGCTTGTTGACTTGCTGGTTTCCTTTTTTTGAGATACAAAACAAAGTATAAGGGTTTGGGGTTTTTATGAAACTATTTAAGAGATCGTGGAAAAAGTTTACCTGATCTGTGTAGTCTGGTTTTTTTTCTTAACCCTGTTCTGTCTCAGCCAATACTAGCGTTTACATCTGCAACTACAAGCCCCTTCAAATGCAGTTTTCAACCATTCTGAAACCAGCAGGGTACACTAGATTTCTTAGTAGTTTTCTTAGCTGAAGTCCCAGATGTTTTCCTTTTTTCTTCAGTATAATTTACCAGAAAGAATTAACTGATGCATTTTTGTGTTGTCTTCCCCTTCAGTAGTTATATTTTGTCTTTTCTGCACATCTGTCTACTAATAAAAATGTGAAATGAAAATATCCCTGTGCTGTTACTTCCATGTTAATGGAGCTGGGTTATTTGCTGGCGTTACTTAAAGCCCTGCAGAGCAGCTGCTCACAAGTCCTGTGCTGCTCCACCACCGGTGCCTGTACATACACATGAATACCTGGGAGGGCAAAGCTGCTGTTTGACAGCTGCCTGCCTGAACTCTGGACTCAAGAACGAACTGATACAGCGAAGGGTTTTGGCAACAAGGCCACGGGCTTCCTGAGTCAGGAAGGGGGAGAGAGGGGGAGGGAAGATGGTTGATGGCCTCATCTGCCTGCAGGACTGGGGGCAGCACAGCTGGTGGTGGCGGGTTCCCTGGCTGGGCCAGAGCACAGGGCTCCTGAAAGGGTCGGGCAGGGCAGGGGGGAGCAGGTTTGCTGGGGCAGGGGGGGGCTCTGACCGCACACAGAAGCGTTGAAGTCATCGCTGCCAGCCCTTCAGGGTGCTTGTCCTGCCTGGCCTGTGCTGTTCCCTGCACGGGTGGAGAAGTTGCATTGTTGCAGGGCTTTGCTGCTGGCGTCAAGCTGAAATCAGCAGGACACGTGCAGAGGAGTTGCACTTGCTGCACTCGGTGTTTGCAGCGCAGCAGATGCGGCCGTGGCCTGAGGGCTTCTTCTTCACAGCCCTGCTGGAGGAACGCTGGTGGTCTTTTTCAGAGCTGCATTCCCAGAGGAGTCCCCATACTGGGGAACAGGCTAACTGGGCTGGTGCTGTCGGAGCCTTCCGACTGGGACCAGGCTTCCCTGTAGCTCCTGCCTGGTCCTATGGCACTCGGCTGCCCAGAGCCACCAGTAGATCCATCCAGCAGCAGCTGTGCTGCCAAAGGCAGGACAAAATCTCCTGCCCACCCTGCACAGGGTAAACCCGGCTGCCCCTCGCATAGGGTTGTTTTTCTTGATGGCCGAGTGCAGCTGAGCAACCTCGGCTCTACCCTGAGGCCACGGAACAGGGGAGCAGAGAGGACATTGCTGCAGAGTAAGGAAAAACACCCTGCTTCGTCTGGCCTGGAGAGGGGCAGCTGCCTGCGGGCAGGCCCCCAGAGCGCTTGGAAGGGGCTGGCGTTGCCTTTGCTGCCCTGTGCTGGAGAAGAGGAGGGTGCAGCCCTTTGCCACCAGGCGTGGGAGCATTGCCCTTCTGCACCCACGGCCCTGACTGGAAGTCAAGCGGCTGGGCACAGCAGAGAGGCACTGGCTGAAGCCCTGGCGAGGGAGTCCCCCTTGCAGCGGCTCTGGGACACGCCCAAGGCTCAGGGGGCTGCTGTGCTCCGACACCAAGTTGCCTTTTGCCACTTCCAACTGCTCCTGGACCCTGACACACACAGTCCAGGCCCAACCCACTGCTGTGGGGCAGCAGCTGGGTTCTATATACAGGAAACCACGTGTGTGAAGATGGCTTTGGGGGGAGTCTTGTTTTTTTGAAGAGTAGCTCCTGTGTCCGCAGCTCTGACCACAGGTAACTGAGGTGCCACTGCTGTAAGCCCGGTGGGCTCTGCTGCTGGTGCAGCCCTTGTACAAGCTGGCAGTAAATCCCAGCCCAGAAACACTTCGTCCCTCCTTGACATTCAGGCCTCGAAGTGCCAAGGGCTTGCAGCAGCTGCCGAAGTTCCACCAGCATCAAACCTCGAGCTGGGGCAGAGGAAAGCCAGTGCCATTTGTGCTGTGCTGCTGAGAGGGGGGAGCGTGGAGTAAAACACTGACTTCTTCCAAGCCAACTGCGTCCCACAGGACCCAAGAGCTGGTCAAAGCATGACTCTAAGAAAGAAATCTAATGGTAGAAGCAGGTTTATTTTTTTCTTGTGGGTCTTGAAACAGCACTGGGAAGTGCAGAACAGCCCCTCACCTGCTGTGTGGACACATGCAGCTTCACATTTACCCTCCTCCTCTCCTGCGCAGGGCAAGGATGCTCAGGTGGGCGAGCCTGGGGCAGGGGCTGTCCCTCAGGAGCCCCCACCACTGACCTTCCCCCTGGCAGAGGCCACAGACCTCATGGGCACAGCAGGGTCTTGAAACAGCACTGGGAAGTGCAGAACAGCCCCTCACCTGCTGTGTGGACACATGCAGCTTCACATTTACCCTCCTCCTCTCCTGCGCAGGGCAAGGATGCTCAGGTGGGCGAGCCTGGGGCAGGGGCTGTCCCTCAGGAGCCCCCACCACTGACCTTCCCCCTGGCAGAGGCCACAGACCTCATGGGCACAGCAGGGGAGGGCAGAGCTGCAGCTGCCCCGCAGGGACGCACGCAGAGCACAATGCCTGAGGCCACCACAGGCAGAGGTGATTGCTGGGGCAGGCTCAGGCCACGGCCCAGGATCCCACCGGCGCCACAGGTTCCTGTGAGCTCTCAGCGCTGCGGTGCACTCACCTTTGTCGGGGTATCTGGCAGCCCCTGCAGACCCAGCTGCTGCTTTGACCCTCCCAGCTCAGCTTTTGGTGCAGGAG